GCCAAGAAAACTTTTCATTTTGCAAGATGAGGCAAATACGCTGCAATATGCTTTATATAATTATAAAACAAAAGCAAATGCATGAACAGACCCAATGAAACCAAACGCACAACAAAGATGCACAAAAGGGACATAACTTGCAAAATTTACTTTTTTATCCATTAAATACATGTTGTTGTGCACGTGGAGTCTCTAGAAGTGTAAAAAAGTAGAATTTAGGGTGTTGGTCCGGACCAAAGGGACTTTTTTTTCCTTCAGTGTGGTTTGCATTTACATTGTGCTTTTTTGCAAGTGGACTATAATTTATAAACAAAGCCACGCAGGTGACGGTCGTTTCTCCCGCTGGATGGAAATAAAGACGGCGCTGTTATTAACACTGGAATAGCATTTGGAAAATCAAGAGCAGCTCATTCAGTGGTGGTTTTGTGATGATATACTTCTCATTTTGAGACGATGTTGGTAAATGCATGCCTCAACCCAAAGGAGACGAGACGCTCCACGTTCTTTGACCCACAGCGGCTCATTGTAGCGTAGCGTTAGCAACACTGAAGGGCTAATGTTGCTTAGTGGTGGCTCATGAAGTCCAAAAAGGCTCATGTTTCCTGTAGTTGGTTCTGTTCGAGGCCGGTCTACAGTCACACCAGAAGCGAACCAAACCAGAGTTTGTTTGGAAGAGGACCGAGACCACCTCAAAAGTGGGTCTTGGTCCGGTTGTTTGGTCTGCACCAGGGTTCACATTAGTGTGTTCACACCTGGATAATAGGTCTGGACCAACAAAACTCTGGTCCGTTTAAAGTGGACCAAACGTGTCAGGTGTGAATTCACCCTTAGTCTCTGGTGCTGTGTAGATATTTTCATTTTCTGTCTGGGCCAAATTTTTCAACCCGTTCAGTTTTCTCTATTTTCTATAACGTTTTCTGAACTATTACATCACAGCATTTACAATGGAACTTCTAAATAAAGTCTGGTTCTGGGTCAGACTCTGGGTCCAACATGTGAGGCTGGATGGACAAGTCTTCCCTTGTTGACATCTTTTTTTCATTTGTAAATAAAACATTTCTGCACAGCTATATAGACATAAACCCCTCTATCAAACTAAAACGAACCGCTCTATATGGACCCCAACTGAATGATTTAAACGTGAAAAAGAAGGATTTAAAAGTCTACTTTAAAGAACACAGGGAACAAATGTAAATTCACTCAGGTGGAAAAAGTCAAAACCTTTCTGAAGTCGAGCTGAAGTGGTAATTCATTATCAGGTGTCTGATAAACAGCAGTGTGGACGTTCTCAGTGATCGATTGAGAACATCATGAGCTGTGGTAATCTTCCTGTCATGCTTCAGCAGCCAGGCAGACACACATCTGACCGAGTCTTTCAACGCGTTTCTGTACGTTTTCTCCCACATCAGCTTCAGTCATGAAAATGCCCTTGCAAAGGGAATTTGTCACCCTGATGTCTCTGTACGATCTGAGCAGAGAGCAGAGTATTGATCTTAGTTTGGTCCTCGCTGTACCCGCTGAAGTCTGCCTGGCAACCCAACGGCACGTCCTGCCAGCTGCCAAACATCTGGCTCCGCAGGGAAGAGTCACGTCCAATCTACACTTGTTAGAGACCCCCCTCCTCACCTCTCCTCTCTGAGCGTGTCCACTTGCCCTGTTTGAAGTATAGATAAGCTGTCAGAGGCAGGTCTCCAGCTGTCCGCGGCGGCGCTTGGCACGCATGTTTAAACCGTGTCGCCCGAGACGACTGGGGGGGCCGGGTCACTTTTACCGTCTGCTGAGGTCAGCTGGTTCAAACGTGCGACAACAAATCTGAGCACAAGAGGTAAAAAGCAATTAATGGATGGATAGGTAAATGAATTTATGAGGACTTGCAGTGACTGTTTCAGAGACTATCAGGGCCAAATAAGGGTCGACGTCTAGACTCAACGATAAAACTTTGTCTGTAAAACAAAGACAGGGTTTACTGAGGCTTAATTCTGCGGCAGTAACATACAGCTTTGTTGGAACAACTCCCAAATCCCTTCAGAGGCCGTGTACCTAAAATCAATAAACAGCAGATCTGCTTACAAGTCGATAAATATCCGGAGCGAGGAGTTCTCCAACTTTTCTTGTCTGGAGATAGAAACGTCTGCTTCTTTAAGTGTTCATCAGCACTTCCTGCCCAGTCAACCCATTCTCACTCCCAGGTCATCACATATCGACACTTTTCCAAGGTTCTCTCTGCGTCCGATTTTGACGCGTCGGGTACTCCCCACGCGTCAGTTATTGACGAGATGGGGCGGAATCTGTTGCATAATTTCAGAAAGTGTAGAAAATGCACAAAAACTAACATCCCAAAGCCTAAAATTACCTTTATTCACTCTAGACATCCTGTCTCTGACCCTAGTACCTAAAATTAACCATTTTTAGAAAGTGTAGGAAATTCACGTCAACTACGTGTTCCAAAGCCTAAAATTACCTAATATTTGCCCCAGACATCATATCCCTGACCCCACTACCTAAAACTAACCTTGAACCCTGATCCCTAATATTAACCATTGACCCCAACTCAAAGACCCCTGTATTTTGTGTCCCACTGCGTCAAACCGGGACGCCGAGGGAACACAGAAATGCCTGGTAGAGGTGTACCTGACATGTCAAAATAAGACTCAGAGGGAACCTTGGAAAAGTGTCAACATGTGATGAGTCGGGAGAGGGAACGTGTTGGCTCAGTCCAAGACTCGGTCCTAACAGTGTCCCCCGTTTTTCGGTGCATTTGCATGCCTTGCCCCCACTCCCCACTACTGCCGACCTTGAGTGAACGAGTCACGAGGGATGAAGAGTAATTTTACTGAGAGCACACTGTGGGTTTTTTTTTTTTTTTTTTTGCAAGTGTAAACAACTTATTCTCAGTCGGCCCTCTGGCGGCTCGGCTCGACTCGCAGTCAACAAGTGCGAAGATAATGTTTATTCACGCACACCACCGGTGCTTTCCCCTGGCAGACTCGACGCCCCCTAGCAAGCGGCTCTTCCACTCCCCTGGTTTTCGCTCGTTTTCCTCTCCTCCGCTCAGAGCCTGTCTGCATTATCACCAGAGACAGCCTGGTTCCTGCGGAGCGCTGAGACAGAAACCCGGTTCTGATCTCACCTGAGTGAGCCGTGTTTGCTCTGGCAGGGAACCAGCGCCGGGACTCGTCACCTGACACTTCCCAAAACAGTTTCTTCACTCCGTCTGCCAGGCGGGGAAGGCTGACGAACGAGATAAAGAAGAAGAGGAAGGAGAGGGAGGAGAGGCGCAGGGGAAGGATGGGGTGAACAATGTCTGTGTTTGAGGGAACTGGAGGACGCCTGAAAGATGTCTTCAATTGAGCGTGCATGGGTCCTAAATGGGTTTTCAGGGAGGGGGGGAAATAAAAGACCCTGTCATCCACTACGCTGCCTCTCTGTCTTCCTCCCTCCATTTCTTTGCCGGCTCTCGAGCTACCTCTCATCCCTCTATTATTAAGGCCTGGTAATGAAATGTGGAGTGTTTGCTGTTGGTGCCCGGGCCACAGCAAACTGTATTAGTGTGTAAATGCTGTGGGTGTAATGAGAAAGCACTCAGGCTAGCTGGGAAGACTGGACCTTGGGGGGGGGGGTGTCAGGTCTGCGTGTGTGCGCACGTGCAAGTGTGTGTGCTCGTGCATCAAACGAATAACAAGAGAAGCTGCAGCTCGCGAGGGCTGAGGTGGCCTTTTTGTCTCCGTTTCCAATCTGGTGATTGGAAGAAGAGGAGCTCAGAGCAGAGTATCAGCCATGGCCCGAAGCATCAACATCAGCGGGATTCAAATCTGTTTTAAAAGGAGACTAATGCAGCCTTAGGGGGAATGATTCATAGTTTATCCCCTTTGGACCGACTTCATTAAATCTGTGGCGACATTTTGCAGCTGCTGAGATCTCAGGACTCAAAACGGAGCTTCTTTTAACTCTGAACACACCTTGATCCTGAGCTGTAATTAGCCTCTGTGTGAGAAGATGGTCTCTGCAGTCACTAAGAGGGAGTTTCATATTTTGTGGGAGGAGTTTGTCTAGAACAGTGTTTCCCAATGTTGGGGCCGGGACCCAAAGTGGGGTCCCAAAACATCAAGGTGGGGTCCTGAAAAGGTTTTCKGAATTAATTACATTTTTGCCTTAGTTGTTACAAAGGAGTGAGGTTAGTGTATTTAAAATGGATAAATGTAATATAAAAATATTGTTACTATGCCCATGTTTTGTTGACCTGATACAAATATTTATTATCTAAAAAATAGCTGGGGCCACAGGTCTCTGCTGCTGTTATTTTGTGGGTCAAAAGCTGAAAAGTTTGAGAACCGCTGCACTTTGGTTCCCAAAGTTGGGCTTGAGACCCAATTATGGGTCATGAAGCACCTTGGATAATCTCCAGAAATCAATTTAAAGGGTAATAAAATAACTGCTGATGTTAAGATTTTCCCTATAATTATTACAAAAACAGAAAATAAGTAAAAGTAAGTATTTATATTTGTGTACAAGCTGTTTAGATTGTCAAAAAGCCTGTGTTTTTAGGGTTATTAATGAAGTTCGTGTACTCAGACAGTAATATTTGAGGTAAAAAGTTTTTGCAGTGGATATTTTGTGGGTCAGAATACAAAAGGTTTGGGAACCACTGGTCTAGAACATGATTGATCTGTTTGACATCAGGCCCACCAATGAAGTCCCCTATTTGCTCTGTGCAAACATCAAGAGTTAAAATCAGCACAGTTTCAGTTCATGAAAACCACAAACTGTCTAATATGTTTGGTTTCAACAGGAGGAACACTCCAGTCTTCTGCTCTGCCTCCTTGCATTATGCGTTAGAGCCCACCGCTGATACAAATGGCCCTCAGTACTGGCTGTGTAATAAAGGCTTTGTGTGAATGTCTTATTTCTGCAGGAGGAGCAGGATGGACATGCTCTGCCCAGTTAATGGTGATTTTAAAGCTGGGGGTTTTCTCTCTCTCTCTCTCTCTCTCTCTCTCCAGAACTGCTGCCTAAATCTGTGGAAAGTGTCTTCATCTTCCAAGAGGCGACAGAGAGCGAGCCGAACGTGGTCACGCCGACATACGACGCGATCGTAGTGGAGCAGTGGACCATTATCGATGTAAGCTGAGTGATTTGCCTTTTTTCCCCACACACTGTCACAGATTTATGGTCTCTACCGCCAACTTTCTCACACTCCAGGGTGTATTTTTGGGGGGGTTTAAGACGTCTAGGAGACACGGGCTAAAATCTGAGCAAAGCACATTTATTACAGCGAATAAAATCTGCTCTTTTAGCACTCAATAAAACGTTCCCTCAGATGCCCTTCCTCCACCTCTCCATCCTCCAGCCAGCCTGTTTCCCAAACACCCCCCAAGGCAAATCTGGTAAATCTGACTTTATGGGACGTGTTGTGGTCGCTTGTCTTATCAGCAGCAAACAAGACTTTATCTGAAGCGTCTCCCATCAACCAGTTTCAAATTGATTTCTGTCCAAACGGTTAGCAGACATTTTGTTTTTTGTCTGCAGGTGTGTGGGTGTTTTTATGTTTGCGAGTCATTTTAAAGTGTTCGATTCTGGTTTTGTGTGTGCGGATGATGAGATGTTATCTCTGTAATTGAATTTAGACCTTTTTTTTTTTAAAAAAAAAAAGAAAAACCTGTGGGTTTTCGAGTGTGAAGAGACTTTTGCCCCCTCAAACTGACCACCCCAGTGCTGACGGCCCTCTGCTGGGAGAAACATGGCCGCCTGTCATCTGAACCGAACAGTGATTCTGTTACAGATAAACGGATTTCAAACCGTCACCAGTGAAAAACTGTTCCACCTGAGTGATCCGACGTCTCACAAACGCTGATCAGAGCTGCGTTTCATTCTCGTTATTTAGAAAAACCTCCTGAAATTGAAATGCAAAGCACCCGCACAGCTCATCGTTGTTTCAGTCTTATAATCTTTAAGATAAAAAAATGGAATATTAATTACAGTCAGGTTTTTTTTAGCTGCAGCGTCATCTTTTCTTCTGATTGTTTCACACTTTTATGCTTCCAATAGTCTGACAGGTGGTTGGATGCATGAAGCTCGGGGAAGATGATGAAGAAAACGAGCCATGTTTTCGTCCTGAAAGCGTGCAATCATTTATATTGTTGCTAAGTGGAAGTGTGTCATCTCCCAATCTCTGACTGTTTATCTGGGGAGGCAAAACCTGTGCTTTTATTGTTTCATTTATATTCTGGTTGGATCTTGTACCAAAAAATTGCTTTTGAAGAGGGCTGAGCTTTTATTGGCATCAAATTCACATAAGCTTTTAGTGTGAAAACTATTCAGATTAGACTGAAATTACAAGTTCTTTCAAAATAAAACTTTATTATTATTACTAATTGTTAAAATACACAGATTTACATTTATGATATATAGATATAATTATTCATCAAGGGAGGAGGTGTGCAGGAATGAGATGATAGAATGAGAATAGGTGAAATGAGATAAAAATGAGATGAATAATATAAAGCAAGACATTATCAGATACAATCAAATATGATACAAGGTCTTTCAGATACAAAGAGATAATTAAATATGAGGTGTTATGATGATATTTAAATTATGAGATTAAATAAAATTATATACAATGAAGTAGGAGAAAATAGGAAAGAGACAGATACTTTATGATGAGATGCAGTGATATGAGAGACATGAGCCATTTTTCAGATTTAGGATCACTACTTTAAAGGCACAGTGTGTAGGATTTTGTCAATTCTTTTAGTTGAAATTGAGATAATCACTAATGA